AAAAAAAAAATCCTTCTTTAAAAATTAAGGCAATGGTTATCTTTATTTGAGTGGCAACTGTGATCTTGACCTGGTAGAAATGGAAACACGGAAGAATTCACCGCTAATACAAAGTGAACATAAATGAAATTTTAAATGTAGAGTAGACACATAATTTGATCGGACCATTTATTGAAGCTCTGACTACAACAGGCGTTCCATATAAACAGTAATCTTGAAAGAGTTCAATAGGTTTTTCAAAAGATCTAGGCATCATTAACCCAAAAGGATAATATTGGGGGTCTAAAATCACATAAATCTATGTTAGAATATAATATATAATCAATGATATAATTAATATAATAATTGATAAATAATATAATTTCCTATTAATAATTATGAATGCCAACACGATACTCAATTACATGTTCATTGTAAGTCATTGTAAATGCTCCACAATCATCTGTAAAAAATTCAAGGTACAATGTTAACGATTCGTTTAATGGCTTAATAGGCTTTCTGTTATTCGACGACAACACTCGAACAAGTTTCTCGGTTTCGTTTCATTGAGGCCGTGTAAGTGATCCACAAAGTTCTGGCACTTCTGTATGTCTTCTTGTTCAACACGATGACCAAAGTTATGTCCTCCATAGATTCCAGGTACAAAATACATTGAACATGTGTATCAGGTCTTCCGAAAGGTATTTCAAAAACTCCTTTGGGTTTATCTTACATGTTTAGTTCTGCTTGGATTTTATCCATTCTAATCCAAACTTTTCAACCATGTTACGCTTTCTGTGCCGTTATATTTGAGAATTTTTAGTTCCTCTTATGTGTCTGGGTAGTATGACGTTTTCACTGCCGGCGAGTTGTTGATACTGTTTAAGCCATAAAATGAGTCGACTGAACAGATAGCTCCGAGGATGCAAAATCAACATGACTTTAACTTGTCGTAACTATTTGCATGCCACACAAAGTTGATCGGTTCTATTCTTGTTAAATGAATGGCAGCTAAATATGTGATTACAACACTTGTTACTGGTGTAATAACAAACAGCCAAACTCCAAACCTAGATACTAATTTAGAAACCATTTTCATCGTCCGGAAAAGGGATGAAGAAGATTCTGAAATAGGATAAATAATCAAATTATTTTAATACACATTAGAAAACCGACATTTTTTAATTATCATAAAACTAACAGATACACAATTTTAAATACTGTTTTAAATTTGATAATTGATAATTACATAAATATAGGCAACAGGTTCATCGCTTGTGCCCTCATCGTAGATTTTTTGGTAGCCAGGTTCGGCTAAAATAGCTAGAACTGGCTAAAATATCCACTTATGGAGTTTGTACCAGCCTGTTGAAGTTAGCTTGGTCGACCTTTGCCTCCCATTGAAATTGGTTGCTTTTTACCCGGTTCTTATTTATAATATATAATCACTTAATCTTTTAACGTTCTAGCTATAACTCTCTTATTCTTTAAATTAAAAAATAAAATTAAAGAAATATAATAAAAAGCTTAACTCACTTACATCTTCTTGTCTATCTTGCAGTAAATATTACGTGTTCCCGCCAATATTGAACCTCTAAGTTCTAAGACTTAAGACCTAAGTTCTAAGATCTATGTTCTAAGATCTAACATCTAACTTCTATCTCAAAACGGCCTCAATGGGCTTCCGTACATAAAGGTACTTTAGGTTTAACAAAAGATAATTATTATGGAGGCTATTTGTTGCCAAAAATCCAGCCTTTAAAATACCATATGACTTGTACACATGACACTACGACACGTCTCAAGACCACGTGTCAGATAAAAAATCTAGCACGGAATGATAAAAAATTACGTAAGAGAATCAAGAATCATTTTCTTTCACCCATTTAAAATTCTTGAATAAATATGAACAAAAATATTACAATACATTTATTTTGTAAGCATAAAAAACATTATTGGGCGACTCGTCACTATGGGTTCTCCTAGAATATCATTTTTTATCCTAACTTAAAATGTATATTAAAGTTGGAGACATCGTGGCAATCTTATATAATCCGTTGATACACATCTTTAAATCATTCAAACATTATTTGTTTTTATTATTCTTTGTTTTGATAACTTCTTTTTTTGTCCAAAAAACAAAATTCTGAATTTTGAAGACTTTGTATAAATATTCCAAGTCTAATATAATGTACTACATTTTTTATGATTTTACAGGTTATGTCCTAAACTTTGATGAGAACAGTGAACATGACGTCATTGATACTGTACAAATAAATGCTGTTGGAGAAAAAGATTTTTTCAACTTCAATAAATATAAGAAAATGACGACAAAGCCAAACAGATTACACACTACCACAATCAGACCCACGGTGAAATTAAAGGGTATTAGATACGGGGAATATGCTGAAGCCGATGATGATGTCGAAGAAGAGGTCGATAAAGAAGCCGATCTTAACAAAAGAAGTAAAAAAGTTTTGAAAACATTTAATGCAAAGATAGGTGTTGGCGCAAGTAAAACCTTAAAGGCCGACAGTGGTAATGATATAGTGAAAGATCCGCTCGATGCAAAGACTGAAATTGTACTCAAAGCAATATCTGATAAGACAAACGCTGTCCTATCTAGAACAGGATCCGAACAAATTGACTATATATCGCCAAGTCAGTCAAGCACTACGTCAACATATGCTAAAGATATCAAAACCAAACAGTTAGATAATGTGGATCCAGATATTATAAATGTTGATGACACTGGACTCAAGGCTGAACTAAGAGACACAGATATTTCTCCACGTGTAAAAGGTTATCAAGCGGTCCAACAAAACAGAAAACCATCCCCGTTGCAACATTCAAACACGTTGGATTCCAGGCTAGCTGGCAATAAGGTAATTCTTATTGTAAAAAAAATATCAAATTTGCTATTCTGTTCTTAAAAACAGGAAGTTATCAGTTTCTACTTTAGTTTCCGCATTACACAAAATTTTAGTTCTTGTTGAAATATTACAACACGAAATTTCTTGCAGTGTGACTAAAATGTATTTTCTTTATTTACATATTACTTGGATATTTAATGCATGTCATTTTATATCTAATTTCAATCAATCCTGCTGCACTCAGTAAGTGTACTTCAAGAACTATTAATGCATATTTTAAATACTAAACATCTTTTAATCGAGACATATAAAAATGTTTATTGTTTAACCGTTTCAAATTCAACAAATATGGTAAAAGGGAGAGAAACATGCCGCAGTTGGATTGCAATAAGACAACCTCTATATCCAGACTTGAGGCAGCTTTGGAAATTTTCTGAATTTTCTTAAAAACTTGTATAAATGAATGTGTATGTTTACAACCCCCCGCCCCCTCCCTCACCGCTGGCTTGTGATGAGTGCAGTTGTCAGACATTGAAAGTTTAAAGTACATACATGTACTAACACCGACGAGCATAAACGTTAAATGATATGTAGCGGCACAGGTCATCCGTGTTTATTTATCTATTTATTTGCCATTTTGTTGAAATGTGTAGTCATGCTTATTTGTTTTGCTGCATACACGAATGCAAATCTTTACCTCAGTTAAGATATACATGTATGTAGCATATTACATAAAGATCTGAAAATGATGAACCCCTGGAAGCAATGAAAACAACAATATTATATATGAAAGATGTAGACTTGGTTTGATTTTGTTCATGAGAGATGATGTAAAAGTTCCTCATCTCTTACTCCCCTTGGCACCGGCTTACTAAAAGCGGTATTCAATCTTCAACACTTGTGTGATAGAATCAGTTTACTGTTTTATCTCTTTACCACTTTGTTCATTACAGGAATTGACTTTTTCTGCGTTAAATCAGGGTCTTTCAAATAGAATTACATGTTATTTATAGAAATACATGTTCAACATCCTCACTTAAGTTCTAAGACTGTGAAAGATGCGCTTACCCTTGAATCATAGTGTCTCAAGATTATTTATCTGTTTCCATAGGAAGCCTAGAATATTTACGTACGTACGTTCTATTTGAAAGACCCTGGTTAAATTAAAAAATAATTTTATTGTGAAAATATTAATCCTAATCTAAATTCATTACATGTGGAAGGTCCTAAGCTTTAAGAGAGTTATATGTTGTTTCTATTTTTCACCATATTTCTTATCTTTATCCCTCTAGGTAAACACTGGTAGTGGTGCTAAGCGACTTTCAACAGCAAATGGTAGGAAACATCGGGTTATTATTTATTTGGTAAAAATATCGTTTTCCTTATTTATAAAAACTGATAAATTAAGTGAAATATTTCATTTATTAATGATTTTATTTAATGATAATTGCATTTAGAACAACAAAAGTATGTACCTTACAAAAACAAAAAAAAGGAAGGATTTTCTTTTTAATTATCACAACTAGACGTCTTATTTTAAAGACTTTTTAAAAAAAAATTAATTGAATCGAAATCCAAGTTTTCGGCTCTTCATTTCTTATGTGATTCTTAGTTTTTTGGCTTAGTATTATTGCAGCATGATTTTTGCTGTACATATAGATTTAGTAAACAGAAGAAGAAGCTAAAATTAAATAAAAGTTTTATTTCATCTCTTACTTTGCTTGCATAAAACCCCTGTATACTCTTACAGATTATGCTAGCCGCAGAAGAAGCTCTCTGTTCCGGAAACGCACATTCGACATTCCGATTGGTCCAAGTACCGATTACGCCGTCCCAGACATCCATTCATTGCGCATAGATAAAACACAAAACTCTACGTTTGTGTTGCTAGTCACATATGCTCGTTCCGGGTCCACATGGCTTGGAGAAATAACCAACCAAGCGAATCAGTCATTTTATGTCTTTGAACCGCTACAGAAGTTTATTGTTCAAGGATATTACAAAGAGAACCAAGTCTGTTACAATAACAACACATGTCGGTAAGCACAGTTACATCCCTTTCCACATTAAAAAAACATGTATTGCATGTAACTTTTATTTAATAAGTAGATCTATGCTTTTTACGTTTGAGCAATGTTATACGCTAAATATATGGTGGTGCCTTAAAATTATAACACAAATATTGCTTCAAAGCACCGGTTAAAATGTTTGAACAAGATACGTCTTTATGATATTAAAATCATGGTACCGGGGAAAAAGGAAAATTGTGCGCTTTGCACTGCTTCAATTTGTTTTGAAATTGATTTTGAAATAAGAGAACTAGTTTTGAAAATATGACTTGGTATCCGTTTATATGTGCCGCCATGCAACTCCATATCATCTCTGACGTCATTGGTCACATGGGATGTCCTGACAGGTATTAATTTATTTTTAGAAATACATGTTTAACATCGAAAGGTGCGTTTACCCTTGAATCATATCGTCTCAATATTTTTTTGCTGTTTTCACAGGAAACCCAGAATATTTACAGAGACTTACAACTTTGCGCTTACCACGTTTCATCGTTTATTCACGTGCCAATTAACAAAACTCCACCCAAAAGCATTTAACGTCTTCATAAAAAATTTGAAAAGTCGCCATTATGCAAGGACTTTTAAAAGTTGCATAGTATCGTATGGTTCAGTAATGAAGTGCCTGCAAAGACTGGAGGATATATGCATTACAACAAAACATCGGGTATTGAAAACTATCCGCATTTCCATGGAACTTGTTGACATTATGATGAGCCTGTGGCCAAATTTGAAAGTCGTTCATCTGGTTCGGGATCCAAGGGGTATAACTAACTCGCGTCTCAGTAGCAGAACGTTTGCAATGGCGCGGCAACTTGTTCCGCATTCTATAGACATGTGCAACCGGATGTTAGATGATATTCATCTTGATGACGTATTGAAAGCAAAATATTTTGACAGGTTTAGACTAGTTTTCTACGAATCGCTGGCTGAAAGACCTTTAGAAGGAGCGAAATTTTTGTATGAATTTCTTGAAATGAAACTTACTAAAGATGTGATGAAATGGATTTATAATAGCACGCATGCGCAGAAGAAAACCGGATATTATGGTACAATGCGGTCTGATTCGGTGAAAAGCGCATACCAATGGAGAACTAGATTACCTTTGTTTAAAATTAGAATTATTGACAAACATTGTATGGATGTTTATAAAATTCTCGGGTTCATGATTTTAAGCTCCACGGAAGAGCTTCTAGATTTAGATATTCCTTCTAGACAGACACTGAACAAACCCTACTGGTTTTCATAATATGATTGTTATATTATCATTGAACTCAGATCATTTTCTACCAGTGAATAAATACATTATTTGTTATATTAACATAAAAATATGAAATCCTGAAATAATGCTATATTTCAATAACTTACCTTTTTTCTTGCAAAATGCCATCGGCGCTTTAATTCATTTCAGCGATAAACTTAAATCCTTTTTATCATGTGATCTTGTCAAAGAAGTCTTCTTTATCAGGGGTGAACACATGTACCTTTCGTTACCTCTCGTGAGCTGTCATGAATAGTTTCATCTTGAGATATCTACCATGTTTATCAGATGTTTCACTGAATATCATATCTCTGCTTCACTGAAATATTATATCGCTTCTTCATTGAAATATCATATCACTGCTTCACTGAAATATCATATCGCTTAACTTAATGCTCTGAAATACCACTGCTCGATAAAATATCGCTTAATTGAATATAATATCGCTACTTTACTAAAATATCACTGCGTCACTGAAATATATATTCACTGAAATATCGCTGACTTGCATATCATATCGCTGCTTTTCAGAAATATCGCTGCTTTTCAGAAATATCGCTGCTTTTGTGAAATATCGCTGCGTCACTGAAATATCGCTGCGTCACTGAAATATATATTTGCTTTAATATCGCTGACGTGCATGTCATATCGTTTCTTTTCTTAAATATGTTTTACTAAAATATATTTAAATATTCGTATCACTGTTCGCTGAAATACTAAAAAATGACTGCTTCAATGAAATATCGCTGTTTTTTTTTAAATATAGCTACTGGATGAAATATCGTATATGTGTTAACTTAAATATCATAACGTGGCATTATTTAACCATAGCTGCTTCACTGAAATATCACTTCTTTAGTCAGAAATCACTGATTTACTAGGATATCGCTGCTTCACTGATATACAATATATCAATAAATCTCTGTGAAGCAGCGGAGTGAGAAGTGATATTTCAGTAAATAACTGACATTCAGTTAAGTCAGTGAACAATCCGCTATTTATCATGTTATAAAACATCATTTAGAATCAATTTTAAACTTTGCCAGAAACTAACCTCGGTTACCAGTTATTGAATTTTCCAACCGGGTTTTAGCTAAACAACTACCGTGCCCGTTAAAACGGATAATGACGCCGATCAGATAAACTCGATCGTCCCGATCACATTGATTCTCCGATGAAGCCCGACCAAGCTGGATTAATGCACATTCACGACTCCCACACGACCTCCTCAAGTCGACCCTACACGATGTTTTACGACTTCTTCTCGACGACAACCCGACCAACATCCCGTCTTCTTCTCGATCACCCAGACCTATATGCGAGTCATACACGATCTCAACTAGACTAACTTGACCTCTGCTCGATCGTTGCAAGATTTCCACCCGACCAGATCGGATAATGCTCGAGTAGAAGTCGAAATGATCGTGTACAGATCGGGTAAGAGATGTATACCCGACCAAACTAGATCGTTACACGATTTATTCTCGATCAACTAGATCTTCTACTCGATCACTATACGATCGCTTCTCGACCGCTTATCTACTCGATCGCTACTCGAATTTTTTGGCATATCAAAAATATTCGGGTAGGAAGCCCGAGCCATGCCGACCAAGGTAGACTGTTCCGACTTCCGCCGATCACACATGCTAACCGAGCTAGACCGGTACCCGATCGCTTGATCGTGCTTGATCGAGTTGATCTGATCGGGGGTGAGAACACAGCATTAGACAACGAAGCACCAGACTGAAAACCGTATTCTGGTATATACCGGACAAGGCGCTCGATTGATTTAATGCTAAAAACTTGCCATTTCACATACTGAAATGCACTTTAAGACATCCAATTCACCTTATATACAATAATGAATGAAAAATGTTTAATTCGACGAAAAAAAAACAAAAAAAAACGATATTTTTGTACTTTGTGATCATGATTTCTGCAAGCGTCAAGAGGTACTGCTCCAACACTGTATTATATTAAATCATATGATCTTGGGTAGGTTCATGTCTGGTACATGCAGGTTACAAACTCACTAACTATCATTTAAAGCGTCTTAGCTGTAGGATATGACTTCTGCATAAAGGTATAAAAATGCCCAACTTTTTGTGTATGTTAAACGCTGTAGACTCTCAGAAAACTTTGATAATAATAAAATGGAATAGGTAACAAGCGACTGTATTTATAGTAGTAAAAGATTTAAAAGTTGTATAATATATAAACTGTGATGCTTGGAACAGTTAAATAACATACCAACATTAAACGTTAATGTAACGGTATGTTTAAATTGATCAAACAAACATGATGTTGTACATGTATCGTATCCACACACACACACGCACGCGCGCACGCACGCACGCAAGCATACAAAATGGCACGCAGGCATCTATCTATCTATCTATACATCCATCCATCCATCCATCCATCCTTAGCATAGCATAGCATACATACATGCAGCGACTCATGCATGCACACACATACATAAAATCATACATAGAAAAGAAAAAAAAATAGATAGAATCTTAGCTGAAAAATCAACACTTTTCGCTGTTTTGAGCCTTTAAATAAATTAGTTACTTTAATATATTATTATGCAGAAAATCTGGGCCCCGCATTAATGCTCTAATGGCGTCGAACACACACCGTTACCAAGGTTATATTTTGATTTACGATAATTGATTTTTCTGGTCGTTTACTTTTTCATTCAAGATCACAGTTGTAAAATAGCCACTGACTTCATCCTAACCTTTGATGGTCTCGTTAAAAAGGTTTTACCTAAGATATTGTAGAATAATAATTCAATTGATTTGAAAGTGTTTTTCTGTATTTCATATATCAATTTAATATACATTATAATGTATATTCGTTTGATTTAAATTATAATACAAGTTCGATAAATAAGTTTACCTAAAATACATATTATATAGATGTTCAGAAGCTAGATAAGTAAACAACATGGGATTCTTTAAGAACTATTAGTTAGGATATATACGTTTGTTTATTAAAAGGTAAGTCTGTGATATTTAATTTTTTAACTAACATTAAATGAAATATCAAATTAGGCTAAGAATAGCAGAACAATTTGATTTTCAAGATAAAATTCTTAGTACATGTGTATGTCTTTATTATCATTTTGATATCTTTATGTTTCAAATGTTTTTAGGTTTTTGTACCTTAGATGAGAAAACAATAAAAATGGACGAGTCCAGAATGTAAGCTGGACAAGTCCATTAAAATAACAAAAAATCAACGAAAAGAGGGAATATTTCACAAGAAATTATAAAATACATAAATAAGTATCATATTGAAATAGGTTCAATAAGTAAAACAGAAAGGCAAGTTTTGATAGAGATAGGCATGGAATATTCGGGAAATTTCTTCATTACTTATCAAATAAGAAATGTATGATAGATAAGCTATAATCTATGAAGAGCTTACAATTACAGAAATACGTGCATCACGTGACAATTATGAAGTTGAGCTGCCCCTACCGCGTTGCTCTACGGAGAGTCTTGCTACTTGCATGCTGTGTTTGGATCATACAGAATTTTCTTACGATATACCATAAAACATGTAAGTACAGTCAATTAATAAGGTGGAAATTACACCAATGTTGGCTTGGCGGGGTCGCGGGGCGAAAACACGAATGGTACAAATCAGCCACCATAATTAAAGAATTTAGATTTCGTAGTGTTCATATATATTTTAAGATTTGGCTTGAAGAATTTTCTTACTTTCCTCACATCACTCTGCATATATTTGCCCCAAAAAGTACATGGACATGTACACATCATTTGACCTTACATCTGACTTATTTTGGAGGATTTTTGTTTGCTTCTTTTTTCAGGTACGATCAACCAGCAGTGGTCTATATTAGCATCTATAAAACGTGTCAAAACTAATGATATAGTTCTATCAATCCGACGAGTACCATCAAATACTTCCGTCACCATGTTACCAACAACTATCCATAAAATCACGAAGAAGAAACAAATAAAACCAATGACTCGACAATGGAACAATACAAAAACAGCAAACAGGACTTTAAATTCAGCTGGTAAACTCATTTCTAAGAAGAAGAAAAAACTTGAACATGTTTCAAATGCATAAAACGTTGTGTTTTTTTCCAGCTTTTTATTGTTCATGTACTTTAACCATTTGTTTGTATCTATTATTATCAAAAATATATATTTGAGTGTTAAAACTTTTTTTAAGCTACTGAATATATGAATTTGCACAAACCCATAAACCAGCAGTGAAAATGATAAAATTGAGCCGCGTCACGACAAAACCAACATAATGGGTTTGCGACCAGCATAGATCCAGACCAGCCTGCGTATCCGCGCAGTCTGATCAGGATCCATGCTGTTCGCTATCAGTTTCTATACTTGTTATAGGGTCTGTAAGCGAACAGCATGGATCCTGATCAGAATGCGCGGATGCGCAGGCTGGTCTGGATCCATGCTGGTCGCAAACCCATTATGTTGGTTTTGTCATGACACGGCTCATATCTATTTCACTCATACATAGATAGGACAGGCTTCTAAGTTCGCGTTTTTGTTGTTGTTGGGATTACATCGTACCAACACAATATAGGTTATACGCCGACTTTCCAGTTTAACTGGAGGAGGAAGACCTCAGTTGCCCTTTCGCGCATTATTTTAGTTACGAAAGGGCACCTGAGTAGAACCACACACGTCCCGTGAGCAAGCTAGATAGCTTCCACACATGAAAAAATCCAAGTCCCTGTCAGGTTTCTGAGGGGCAAGTGTGTGGCGCCGTTAAATGTCGCATCGTGGCTAAATGTCGCACTTGCCGCTAAATGTCGCACCATTGCCGCTAAATGTCGCAACCGCCGCTAAATGTCGCAAAATCATTTGCCGTTAAATGTCGCAATGTTAACGTTAAATGTCGCACAAATTTCCTTTACCGTTAAATGTCGCAACACTACCGTTAAATGTCGCAAGATGTAAAGTCATGTTAAAATCATGATTTAAGTAGTATTATATTACTTTTTAACATTCTCATAGTTTTTTATTGTAATTGCCATCTTTGTTATACTTGTTTTCTTTTATGAACCTAAATATTGAGGTTTTGAGCTGCTA